TATGACGGCACAAATAGAGGAAATATATAACATGAACTTATGCACCTAAAAAAAAAATAAAAATATAATCCACGACTTGCTATATTGATTTTGCAGATGGCCAGAGAAGGAAGGTAAAAGATGGTAGAGTGTGGAACAGAAGGCAACTCACACATCCTCGTAATACATAACACAAGACCGTTTACCTTCTCTGAGGAAATGCCAGCAGGGCTGCTTGAGCCAGACACCGGTGCCGCGTGTTCTCTCGGATATGGAATGTGACCATACCCAAGACATTTCTGAATGTCTGAGACATTCACCAGACATTTCTGAATGTCTCAGACATTTCTGAATGTCTCAGACATTTCCACAAAACTCGTTTTCTGTTTAAACCGTATATTGTATATTGTTAGGGTTAGAAGGTTTTAACTTGGGTTAGGCTGTGATAGGTTTGGTAAGGTTAGGCTTCTCAAATCCGCTGGCGAACCGTCCTGTGAATGATGTGACTTACATGGCTGGTCATTGTCTCGAGCTGGCTAAGTGAACTCTAAGGTCACGTCCCCTGTTGTATTAATTTAATTGATTGTATTTAAATTTCAACACAAGTATTTAGGTATAAGTATTGATATTGCTTATATTTAAGCAACAGTTCGCAGTAATATGCAGGGCATTGTGTTATATCATCTTGAACATAGAATAAATTAATGTATTGATCACATACAAATTTGATATCACTCAGAGTAATAAACTCTGATGACATCTCTGCACCAGCACTAAGTGAAGTTTTATGACGTCCTTATTCTAACTGATGACCTGTAAATAAAGTTAATCAAAGTCTAATCATTGTAATAGTTGTACAAATTTTAATGTTGATATTTTTCAAAACATTGAATATCACAAAACAATTCAAAGACAAGCGCACGTAAACAGTGTTCAGGTATAATTAAGAAGACATGTATACACTGAGAGTACAATGGGTATATATATATATATATATATATATATATATATATATATATATATATATATATATACATATATATATATATATAATATATATATATATAATATATATAATATATATATATATATATATATATATATATATATATATATATATATATATATATATATATATATATTATATATAATATACACAGAATGGTGTACAGGGGATATATGTACACGAAAAGGTGCAGACTAGTATGCATTTGTACACCAGGCAGCACTCCTTCAATTCTCAGAGTATATTGACTTTAATATAATTCATAAATTAGAATAACATAATAACACCATCAGGGGATCGGGAGCATGGATGACGAAGCTTGCAAATAATCTCCTTATATGGTGGGATTAAACAGTGATGTGTAGTAAACTATATAGCATACATGCAGTATTTTGTAGGCTACTGTATTCAAATCCAGTTATTGGATATACAGTAGTAAATAATGTTTGTTTAACAAAGGTAAACAATAGTGCAAAATTGATTCATGTGAAATTAATGAACACATTTGTTTTCAGTTATGTTTAGGTTGTGTTTGGCTAATCTATGTGTAGGTTAATTAAGTTTGTTATATGAGGTAATCATATAATCTTTCTTTGTTGTTATTTTTGTCACTTTACACTTTATTTGTTGACATCGTTGCATCAACTTTTATGGTGTCACGCCTGCTTTTGTCTTCATAAATTCAAAGATTAAGAACGTTGTCGGCAGAAGTAACGATTCACCACAATTTTCAACTTTGGCAGTTCAAAAGCACTTAAAACATTCCCATTTTAAATTCTTATAACGATTATTATAAGGAATAATTATGGCCACAGATTATGATACATTTCCCGGCACCATATGAGATACAATAGGAAATATAACAAACATTCGTGGCAAATGAATAAGAGAGGAATTCAAATATTTGTGCTGAGAGAGAGCCAGCAAGCTGTATCTTTCGCGGGTGGATAATGTTGACAGTTAATATTTACATGATGTTAGGTAAAGTTAGCGACCAGTGATGCTCCCTCCCTCACTCTTACAAGGAAATTTTGTTGAATAATCCTTGTTGGATAATTTTGTAGGGATTGTCTTTAAATTTGTCGTCAGTTCACTCTGAAATGTTGGCAAAACTGGGCGGTATTCATCTATTTAATTCGAATAGGGAAATGTTATTTTTTTTCTATTCAGAAATCTGTAAATATTTAATAATGTTTAATATTATTCCTTAGCAAGTGTTTTAATGATGATAATAGGTCCACCGAATACACTTTGGAGAAGACCTTTGTGTGTGTGAATATATATATATATATAAATAACACATAAATAAATATATATATATATATATATATATATATATATATATATATATATATATATATATATATACATATATATATGCATATATATATATATATATATATATATATATATATATATATATATATATATATATATATATATATATATATATTGTCACTTTAAAGACCTTACTTAACCCAAAACAGCCTTTCAAATGATGGAAGACGCTACTCTTTAATTATTCACTGTCATTTTTTATGATAATCCTTCACAAAAGTGTTGCGGTGCCTCGGTCGCGCGAGCTAGGCTGGCGCAGAGTAAACTGACCAGGGGATTGTGCCTACGTGGGTGAACAGTGTTTGTTTACACAGATTATGTCCTTGTAACGCTCTCAATTACCGAAAACGGGAAGCCAAAGGGATCAACAGCGTAAAGATAATGTTTCAGTGTCCTTAGTTGTTGAATATATGTTAAGTCTGCATAATCTGCATAACTTAATTCGTGTTGCTACGTCCTTAATTAATGAAATCGTTACTTAAATAATTAGGCTATTTTCTGTTTTTGTCTTAAGGATTTCACGAGTTAAATGAAATCTCTGCAAGTTCTAAGTGTAATTCCTTTGTATTCATCTAGAGAATTTATAGATTTTGAGATGCCAGGGTTCCCAACTATATGGGTGCCTCATTGCCTGGCTGTCAGGATGCCTGTGTAGCAAAGGCTGACTTTCAGAGTACCTGGCACGCTGTTGTGTTGTCTGGCAAGGTGCCTGCCTGTCAGGCTTAGTTCACTGGGTGACTGATTGTCAGGGGTATCTGTCTGGCAGAGTAGCTGGCTGATAGATTGCCTAGTTGACTGCCGTGGCACTCTGCGCATGTCATACTGGCCGTTATGAGAGCGGCGGTCTCTATCTGGGGCCAGATTCACGAAAGTACTTACGCAAGCACTTACGAACCTGTACATCTTTTCTCAACATTTGGCGGCTTTGTTTACAATTATTAAACAGTTAATGAACTCCGAAGTACCAGGAGGCTGTTTATAACAATAACAACAGTTGATTGTGAAGTTTTCATGCTTGTAAACTGTTTAATAAATGTAACCAAAGCCGTCAAAGATTGAGGAAAGATGTACACGTTCGTAAGTTCTTGCGTAACTGCTTCGTGAATCTGGTCCCTGGATTCCTCCACCTTGCCTCCTGACTTGCACAGCTGAGGTCATGTGTGTACACTGCTCCGCTTCCTCCTCCACCTCTTCCTCCTCTCTCTCTCTCTCTCTCTCTCTCTCTCTCTCTCTCTCTCTCTCTCTCTCTCTCTCTCTCTCTCTCTCTCTCTCTCTCTCTCTCTCTCTCTCTCTCTTTCTCTCTCTCAGAATATACACCTAAATATAGATGTATAAACATTCACATGTAAACATCCATATGTATATGCGTGTACATTGTAGGCATACATACAAACTAGTTACGTATTTATGAGCACACATATATATTTATAAATATATGTACGTACATATATTCATAAATATATGTACGCATAAAAAGGGGATGTGATCACAACATAGAAAATCCTCAGAACTCGATTACGTTTCACAACGACTGAGAGCGAGTTACGAATGCAGATTCCTAACATGGGTTCATCAGCAGTGAGGTAGAACTTAATGTTTAAGGCAGGACTCGGGAGCTGGAACTCAACACCTTCAACTAGTTAGCTAAATATACATGATCTCCATGCATGGAGTGAAATCATAAAAGCCCGGACCCAGAAGTTGAAGCCCAACTCTAACCAGATCTAGGGAAATACATATACGCACTAACAATAACAGGAAACTGCATACATCCACCAAATAATACACGAGCACCAAAATATGCACATTAACATACAGAGTTTATACAGTTTAATATACTGTATTGTATTAAACTATCCAACATGGTACAGGAGCGCAAACAAATCTCTTATCAATGGAACATGTTTATTATGATACAAAAGGGTGAGGAGGCGAGGGTTGTGGAGTTTTGGCACGTGGGGAAGGGGTGTGGGGTGTGGGGGGGGGGAGGAGGGGGGAAATGAGTGAGAGTGAGAGAGACAGTGAGAGAGAGAGAGAGAGAAAGAGAGAACGCCCGCGAGAGCAAGAGCGAGATGGGCCTTGGTGCTACGCTGTGCTCCAAGGTTAGAATGATTTCACTCTTTTCACGCTCTTTCACTCGTATTCGTTCATTCAGATTTTAAGATACTTACTAGCATTTGTTTTCGCGTTCAGAACCCTGAGCCATTTTGATATAAAATAATGTAGCAAAAAAGTGGGAAAATCTGTTTTTTGTGTCGACACTTGTGTATTGACCACGTGCTTGGCTTTTCAAACTTCCCGCCACTACGGGCTGCGACTTACTCTTAAATTTATTGAGGATATATATTTAGCGACAGATGCTGTTGGACGTGTGTGGAGCTTAATTTTGAGTGTGTTTATTCGCAGAGACATTCACGTTTGGAATATATGGTGTTCGTTAAAGTACTGGAGTGTTTTTATAAAGAAAAACGTATGAGAAACAAGCCACTTGTTGATCTCGTGTCTGGTGAGGGCGGCGGGTTGGGAGTGGACGCTTTGAATGAATCTCCCGTCGCTGGGAGAGTGCGCGAGAGGCGGCCGCCGATTGGCTCCCGCGGCGACTCAGCTGCCGTATCGACCAATGACAACCTCGCTCTCAAACAGGTAACTCCAGTTTGAAACGTCGAGGCTCCAAGCGAGAGCACAAGTTAGTGTGTATCGTGACATCGTTGTGAGAAGTGGTAGTATCTCTGTGTAATTTGTCTGGGTGTCACTCGTTAGTGAAGATTACCTCAGGTGAGCAACATGGCTACCAGTTCCACAGATGCTTTCAACAGCCAGTTGGGCACCAGTATCCCACTGTTTAGTAATTATTCCATGGTGTCAGTCACTACGGGAGCTAACTTTTGGCCGACGGAGGCCACCTCGGACTCCACGTCGCCAGCTTCGGCGGAGAATAATTGGGACGTGGATGAGGAAGAGGCCATTAAGAGGAGGATCTACGAGCTCAAGAGGCAGTTCCACAACGGCAGATACCTCATCGTCCGCCACCTGCCCCGCGACGCTACTGAAGAGGTAAGACACAGTACAAAGGAATTTCTTTGCTAGCGTCTGCAGCTACGCCCAGGAGCTGCTCCCTCGCTACTGACGGAGCTTAGCATTAATTACAGAGTTATTACTTAATTGTATTCTAAAGAATTCACGTTTTGTAATATATATTGGGGAAATATTAATGATGCTTGTGTAATATACAAGGGCGCCTAGGACCATGAATGAACCCGACATATATTGTCATATTTGTCTATAAACAAATTATCACTAATGTGAAATAGCTGTAATTTAATCATTGTGAAATAGCTGTAATTTAATCAGTGTATCGGTGAAGCTCTAGGAACACCTGTGATTGCATCTGCGATATAACATATATTGAATAACAGACGTTGGGAGGAATGAGAGAGGAAGAAACTTACTTTTATTTTTGTGCAAGAGTGTGTGTGTCAGAGTTTTGGCGGGTGTGTTGTCTGCCAGTGTGGGAGTGTGTGTGCGTGTGTTGCAGGAGGGCAGGTGTGTGCGTGTGTTGCAGGAAGGCAGGTGTGTGCGTGTGTTGCAGGAGGGCAGATGTGTGTGTGTGTTGCAGGAGGGCAGATGTGTGCGTGTGTTGCAGGAGGGCAGATGTGTGCGTGTGTTGCAGGAGGGCAGATGTGTGCGTGTGTTGCAGGAAGGCAGGTGTGTGCGTGTGTTGCAGGAGGGCAGGTGTGTGCGTGTGTTGCAGGAGGGCAGATGTGTGTGTGTTGTGGTGGTGGGCGAGGCATCTTGTTGCTGTTATGTTCAGTTGTGGCGGGTGTTTTCTTGTCAGTTACCGGCGGCGTGCTTGTCACCCGCCCCTACGCTTGTCTAACTCCTCGGTCTGTTTACACACACACACACACACACACACACACACACACACACACACACACACACACACACACACACACACACACACACACACACACACACACACACACAGGAAGCAGCCCGGAACAGCTGTCTTTAACTCCCAGGTACCTATTTACTGCCAGGTAACAGGAGCATCAGGGTGAAAGAAACTGCCCATTTGTCTCTGCCGGCGCCGGGAATCGAACCCGGGCCACAGGATTACGAGTCCTGTGCGCTGTCCACTCAGTGTATATTCATCTAGTTGTATTCACCTAGTTGTGAATACAACTAGGTGTATACAGTATATGTATGTATGTGTGTGGCAAAAATAAATTAGTAGTAACAATTCATTGATTGACAGTTGGGAGGGGGGCCGAAAGAGCAGAGCTCAACCCACGCAACCACAACTAGGTGAAACACACACATACCCCGCCTTTGGTCCCGCATCTGTTGAGAGGCGGGACCAAATAGCCGAAACTCAATCCCCGCAAGCACAACTAGGTGAGAACACCCCCCCCCCCCCCACACAATATATGTAGTAGACTTAATAGAGGAAAAATAAATTGGTTTGAAAGGCGGGGTCCAAGAGCTAATAGCTCGATTCTGCATATACAAGTATTAAATACACACACAATCACCCACTCACTCTTGGACCAAAGAGCCAGAGCTCAACCCCCGCATGCACAACTAGGTGAGTACACACGTGTGTGTGTGTGTAAAATATATGTCGATACTATTGAGGAAAATAGCTCCAGTCAATACATTAGAGAACCAACTGTTAGAATGGCGGGGTCCAAGAGCTGGATGCTGCTAGTAAACACAAGGTCCCGTGGTAAAGTAGTTAACGTCCTCGAATCTTAGCAGAGATACGTGGGTTCATTCCCTGGCTGGGACAAACAATTTGGCAGTTTCCTTCCACTTGATGCCTCCGTTCATCTGGGAACTAGACAGCTGTTGTGAGCTGCATCCTGGAAATGTGTATTTAGTGTTTGTATCAACTATTTGTACTTGCAGTATCGAGCTGTTAACAATAGAATCCCACTTTAACCTAATTTTATCTTATATCTACTTCTCTCAGATACACTCGATGCAGGGACCTATAGGTGAATAGACATGAAAATTATGAAAAAAATTAACTTTGTGCACTTGGGTGTGCACCAAGGCTAGTAGGCGGAGCGCAAAGAGCTTCATATCATTTCCCTTTAGTCTCTTCGGTTACCACGTAATGTGCCCCCCCCCCCCCATATACATTCTGACCCAGCCATATTCAACCACACAGCCTACATATTCACCCAATGAACTTTCATTAAAGGCAAACAGCTTTAAGCTCAACAAGGTACAATGCAGGACAGGCAACGGATTTTTTTTCATTCGCAGGGTGATAAACCGACGGAATTGCCTACTCATCGAAGTAGTAACAGCAGCGACAGTATTCCCGTTCAAAATTCGACTGGAAAAAATCCTTGGGAATATTGGAGGGTAACTTTGACAAGCCGCTGGCATCCTGTTCACGTAGAGACCACTAGAGATGGTGGCACTTATGTAAATTTATACACACACGCTTCCACCTCCACCCACATATGCACAACATACACATTCATACCACCCACACTTTGAAACTACCTACACTTTCATCATCTACCCATATATAACTCCCGCTTACCGAGGCTAATTCGATAAGGTTTTAAGTGTAAATATGATACAAAAAAAGTGAAAAAATAGTTTACTATTGATGGCCAAAAGGCTGGGCTAGAGAGGAGATGCTCGATCCTAAAGCACATGTTTTATTTATTTATTTATTTATTTATATACAAGAAGGTACATTGGGTTTGTGAGAATACATAGCATAGTATTTACAATCTTGTAAAGCCACTAGTACGCGCAGCGTTTCAGGCAGAAAGATTAGTAGATTGTAGATTAGTATCTACTCATCAACCAGCACACACTCATCAACTCGCATACACTCGTATGCAGGCACACAAACACCCGTCCAAAAACAAATACACAAACTGGAGCTTAAAGTATAAAATTCTGGTCTATGCAAACTCACTGCAATAAGACCCAGCTGAATTACTCTGATAAAGCAAAATTGTATATAAATGTTATAAAGCTGTTATAACAAGTCTGAAAACATTTTAAATATAACTCCTGAACGCAATCTTTGGCTATCAAGTAGAACCCTAAAAGTTGTCATTATACGAAAACTCTCAGATGAATTTGAAGAATTGGTTCAGGCAGTTCGGTTTGTATAGAGATCTAGATGAAGGAAAGAATAAAGCGTGTGTGTGTGTGTTAACTATGGCACTACAGCATCACATCTTAGACTGAAAAAATTAAGCCATTTAGTGATGAATCTAAACTCACACTGCATGAAATGATAAACCATCGATACAATATCTGAAATCATTGCACTGTATCCATATTTCGCTTCTTGTAGATTCGTGACATATATCATTAATGTATATGCTGTGTAGCAATGAAGACAACTAACAGCAGCTCTTCCGTCATCGTGAAAAATTCAATATGTAAATTATTTTAGGTATTAACAAAATACCTACCTTGAGGTTACCTTGAGGTGTTTTCGGGGCTTAGCGACCCCGCGGCCCGGTCCTCGATCAGGCCTCCTGATTGCTGGATTGGTCAACCAGGCTGTTGGACGCGGCTGTTCGTAGCCTGACGTATGAGTTACAGCCTAGTTTCCCCTATCTCCCTATCAACCTATCTGCAATGTATACTATACAGTATTTTAAATACACTGGTGTTGCAATGCAAAAACTGTTACTCGCTGTCATAATTATAAGGTGTGCAGGTTAAATGTAATTGTTAATGTAAAAATATCCGCTGAGGTCTGAATAGCATCTCTTGTGCTCTCATTAATTCTATTTTTGCTCTACCACTCGTAGGATAAGTTTGGGGTACATAATTAATTGCCTTAGACGGCAACAATCAGCTTAACAGTCCTAGAAGAGAGAAGAACCAGACGTAAATAGGCAATAACAGGGCCAGTACTTTCCCAACGAAGGATAATAAGACTAAAGGACACAGGTGGCAGACACATACAAAGAAAATTCCATAGGCCTATTCATCAGTATGCGTGCAAGTGGATAGGATGGGAGAAGTTGTAGAACCCACCTCTATCCACAGTTCCGTCAGCAAGTACAGTACATGGAAAACTGTTACCAATAGCTAGGAGACGGGACATAAGAATTAGATCCCGCACCCCGCATTCGAAATTCTTAAACATAAGAATTATGGAAACTTAAGTGCGAAACTGACAATTAGAGTGCAAGGTAGCTCCTATCTATATCCACCCAAACTCATTCTGCAACCCGTTCTCGCAAATTTAATAAGTCAATATTGACTTATTAGTTGCGTGCATAGGTGACATACTAAACATAATAGTTTCCCTTGAAAAGCTTCATAGAAAACACCGACCTTACCTAACCTACTTAGTATGTTAAAATAAGCATCTTATAGTTTCGTAATTACAATTGTTACTTAACCTATATTGTAATTACGAAGCTATAAGATGCTTATTTTAACATACTAAGTAGGTTAGGTAAGGTCGGTGTTTTCTATGAAGCTTTTCAAGGGAAACTATTATGTTTAGTATGTCACCTATGCACGCAACTAATAAGTCAATATTGACTTATTAAATTTGCGAGAACGGGTTGCATTCACATATGTCTAACCTATGCTTGAAGCAATCCAGAGGTCATGCAGCCCCGTTCCTGTGCCAAGTAAGTCCACCACGTGCTCGCCATAGCCCGTGCTACTTGGAACTTTTGTTCTGAGTAGCTGAATACAAAACATCATTAAAGCATCAAATGAACCAACTTTGCCACATAGACATACCAAGGCAACAACATACACCTGCAAATGCTTCTCCTGCAAGAGCTATCAGAGTTTGCTGCATGGACCCGAGCTCGATTCACAAGCAAAGTGAAACGTTTGGACACTGTTCCCACATGCCTGATGTCTGTTCACCTAGCAGTAAATGGGTACCTAGGGGTCAGGAGAGTGTTTGCATCCTGGAAGAGGTCAACCATTGGCCTAGGCAAGGGAGACGAATGAGCCTTATAGGCTTCCAGTCCGAGACCACGATACAGGTCTCGGACAAGAAGCTAATTAAGGTTTTCAAATATGCAATAAATGAA